TTAAATTTATTCACAAAAAACGACATTTTTGAAAATTAACTTGTGCCATTTTAAATGTAATATCATAATGCCACTCTCTTGAAAAATGCGCCTCTCTTTTGGGAAAAAAATAAACACAAAAAAAAACAGAAAAAAAAACCAAACACTGAGACAGTCGATTTTCATAAGCTTCTCTTGAGTTGAATTTTTCACCAGTAAAATCATTAGCTACGTATATACAAGTATAGGTATGTAGCAATCACTTGTTGCCAGGTTCATACTATAAGTTGAATGGATAAGTACCTGCTTACCATGCTGCCGGAACTGCTGGCGAGTCACTATCGACATGTGTGGCTCAATTCTTCACCCATTGTCTTGCCGCTTCTGTGTCTTTGCTTCCTGCAAATGGTCCAATTGTGGACAATACAGGCCTGAATGCATAGTTTGACCGTAAAGGAGCAGTTCATAGTTGATGATTCCGCGCCAATTTAATAAATTTATATTTATATAACAGCTTATATCTCGTCCAACCGTTCATACCAGCCTTCAATTAAAATACTAATAATTATGCTAACTTTGCACAGTTAGAATACTGCGGACATTTAAACAATTTCAGTGGGCAGGTCAGACTTTAAAAATAACTCAAAATACATAATTTTATTAAACAGGCAGGTAAAAAATTTTCTCTTTTAAAATTTGTTTAAACTTTTTTTAATCAAAACTGTGATAGAATTGACACAGTTGATTGATCAGATCAGATATTCGTAACGAATTGTTTTTCAAAAGAGAGTTCAAAAAACTGTATCAAAGAATTATCATACAATAAATGTACTTCTAAAAAAATAAAGTGCTCCAAAAATCGTAAATATTAGCACGGGAAGTTGAAAATACCCTTAACACTTGACGTAAAAAGAAAATATTTTCAACTGGTACAACTCTCCGTGAAACCGAAATCGCTGGAACAAAAAGCTGTGATCGAAGAAAATTGCTTTGGTGGAAAAATTCAGCGCTTTACGAGCGTTCACAGTCTTGTGGATTAGTATAAGCCTTAGGATTAACTGATTATAAATGGAATTATTATTATTATCAAGGGGAAACGCATTACTATAATTAAATTAATATACATTTTCTGAAAAAAATTAAAAGTCACTTTACTTTTTCAAAAATACATGTTGGCATATATGGCACACAAATATAATATTTTCTAAAAATAAAATAAAATATTAAAGGTTCATAAAAAAATTGTGTGGTAAAGTAAAAAAAAAATATTTGTCTTTATTTTTATTTTTTTATTAAAAAGCAAAAATATTTACTTCTTTGTATACTGATATCAGTACCAATATAAACATTTCTGGACTGTCATGTCTTCAACAACAGTGAGATGCATATCGCACGGCATTTGCTGCGTAGCTTTTGAAATGAATATGCTTAAAGACAAAGGAACTCGCTTACATTAAAAAATTTGTCAACCGCAATCATTTACGCGACAAGGCGAAAGAGTTCCAAAAGCCGAGAAACAAAGCGAACGAATCATATGCCTAATTTAAATGTCATTAGAAAACAATTAAAACAAAAGAGCCAAAAAGACCAAAATTATATGTTGAAATACCAACTGGCAGATTATTGCGCACAGAGACGCTAAAACAAAAGACCGAGTGCCATTGAGTGCGTGCAACAGGGGTTCGAATGTGTTGAAACAAAAACGCCCGCGGAATATAACGGAAACGGAGGCGCTGATGTGCATAAATGTCAACAGCAGGAAGCTGTGGCATTGTGCGCAATTGTCGCCACAGCCACACTAGTATTTTGGCATTTTGGCAGCGCACAAAGGACCACGCACAACAAATGTCAACGAAATGCCAAAAGATGACAGAATTAAGAGAAACCCGAAAGTGGTGGTGGGAGAGCGCAAAGCAACGAAAGCACGTGCTGGCAAGTGCTACGGGCAATTGGTGGAACTGTATGTATGAAAATTTGTTTTTGTTTTGTATGTGTCAAATGGATTTTCGCCGCCTTCTAGAGATAGATAATTGAAAACTCTGCTGGTAGCGCACGCATGTGCGTGTCTCAAGTAGCAGCGGCAGCTTTTTGGGCGCATAATTTGTCAGCGAATATTTTAAATACACAAAACGTGCGCTATCAGCGTTGTAACGGCACCAGCCATTTGGTTGGTCACGTGCACTCAGCCGAAACGCAGCCACCACTTCATCTCCACAGCTACCAGTTGCCCGACAGCGCGCTCTCTCCACATTACTGTATCGCCCCGGAAAGCCAAATAATAAATATATAATGGAGTTTAAGCAAAAAGCATCTGCAGCATCACCTGGCCTTTCGCAGACGCAAATGCTCGGCTGGCCTGGACGGTTGGCTGTGAATTGCCGCACTTGCCATCAATTGCACGCGCGCGCTGCTGCGGGGGAGTGAGCACTTTACTGTTTTCTCGTGGTTTTGTGCTTTGTGACCGCAACTCTGCTTTCTTAATCAGCTGCGTGAGTTGGAATCCGCCTTTGTAAGCCGCATTGCCATTCACCACGCTTCCTTTCACAGCGCTGTGTGGCTATTTGTTGTTCTTGTTGCTTAGTTAGCGCTTGAAATGCGATACTTTCTGCGCGCGCGTATGTGTGTATGTGTGTGTATGTGAGTGTGTTTTAACCCCCACTCCTCATTGATTCGCACAGTCGCATCATTTTTCTTATCTTTTTTTGCGCCTTTTCTGCTTTCCAAATGTTCGTGCTTGGCTATAATTTGTTATTCTTACTCACCTACACACTGCGCTATATAAAAGCGCATGCCACATACACGCATACATACATACATACTCATGTACATTTTTACCGGTGTTTACTTACTTACTTAACTGCCTTGCCGCGGCACTTCCCCTTCCATTGTTTCATTGTTTATGATCACTTTTATAAACAGATGGATTTCATTTTGGCATTCTCATGATTATTTGCCGGTTTTCTGTGCAACAATTTTCGTATACATTTTTTTTTTTTAATTTTTCTTGCCTTCAACTATAAATCAGGAAATGGAATATTTTTTATGAATTGTTATCTAAAAACAAGGGTTCTCTATGACTCTCACTTAATAACGAACGAATATGTGTTGCTTTTAGAAAAAATCGGACATAACCTCTATGCTACAAGATAATTTTCAAAGGCTGAGTATCCAACTATAGTTATACCTATATATGTATATGTATATGCTCAGAACTTTTATACTCGTCATTACTACAAGTTAATGGGTTAAAATGTCTTTGGTTTGACAGAGAGATCGCACGAAATAAAACATTTGTACTCTAGCCTTAACCAGAATATTTTCGAAGTTTCATGACATTCATGCCATGGTTCTCAAGTTATTTTAAACGTCACCTACTGAACAGCGAATAAGCCCCAGCCAGATCATAGAATCGGTCAAGTACTGCTTCGGAGTGGCCAAAAGAGACAGTAACACCAGATATTCACACCATTCCGAAAATTCGTGCAATATCTTTGTGTAACGCAAAATAAAGACAAATGGGTTAGTTAACATCATTGGGAACTGAAAGGAACATGTTGGTCGCCAATCACTTATTAAATAAGCAGGCTTTACCGCGACGGCAGCTGCAATGAAAATCAAAGAGGCATACATTCAAAGGACAATCTGTCGCCGATGAGATGTTATAACATAAGAACGAGTTTTTGCGCCGATTTGCCACAAAGGATACATCATTACACACCTGTGTTCAATTGGTGGTTAGCTGAAAGCTTGCTGGCTGTTGAAAGTCGTTCGAAGCGCCCGTAAAATAACATTCGGCTTTTTTATTGCATAACGTTGAGATCTAGAATTGGCCAATTTTTTGAGCCCAAAACTTTTCTACCCATATAGAATATTTCAAGTTATTCTTTTTCAAAAAGATTAGTTCGAGTTGAATTTTTTTGAAAGCGTCGTTAGACTCGGTGTCATTTCAAGGTTTTCGAAGAAAATTTTCTGAAATTTAGTCTCATTTACTCATTTTAAGTTCGAGTAACAGGTGTTTTAAATGTTGAAAAGTACTTTTGTTTTTGTAATTCCATAAATCATTTTCCATTTTCCTGCAGAACTTGAAGACTTGTTGGCTCAGAGTGTTATGATCAAAGAATAATTTAAGTTAAAATTGCTTCTAATAGTCTGAGCTATTAATGTAATTTACTCTTTTATGTTGAAAAAATGCTCGATTTCTGGGAAAATATTTAAATTTTAAAAAGACTAGTGAAACTCAGCTGGTCCCTTAAAGTTTTACAAAGCTCAATCTCACAATCAAAAAGTGTAACTTGAACAACAAATAGTCCATTTTCATGCTACTGATAAATTTCAGAATAAAGCTTTAAAAATTTAAAAACAAAAAATACTCTGCCAAGGGCTATCACTACTAGGAAATGAACTACCAAGAAAAATTCGATCTTTCAAAAATTCGATCATTTAGCCAGTCGGAATTTGTATCTACCACGAATCAAGTATCGAAACTAAAGAATTTCTAAGTTAAAGAAAGATTAAAAATTTTAAGTACAGGTTTAGATAAAGAAAAAAGCTATAACTTTTGTATATTGACTTTTTTCACATAACCTGAAAATTTATGTGAAAAATTCATATAACCAAGTTTTTGGGTGCTTTGTTTTTGCCTTGCGCAAACAATTTTTTTCTTTTACGATTTTGGTGGAAAATAACTTTGATATGTCCCAAGCGCTCTGTATTCTTTTTATTTAAAGTATTTCCTTTTTCTCCTTATATTGATGTAATATCGAAAAAAAATCCAATTTTTAATAAAAAAATGTCAAGTCAATATTTCAGATTTTTTTTTAAATGTGTGTCGATGATTATGATTGCTGAAATCTTTGCTTTCGGACGGTCTTAAACATCTAATATTAGTATGGTAAATTTATTCACAAATTGCTGACGAAGATTCAAAACTGCTTTTTTTTACATCTGCTATTAACAGGTAGCTCAAATAAAAAAAACCAGCTTTGTATCGTTTTTAAGCTATTTTAGTGTAGTAGTGTTTAGTAGGTCAGATAATATTATTTGTTTTTAATGGTGTAAAGTCCTAATGCTGTTTAAGAAGTTTTAAATTTCTAACTATTAAACATATTTTGAGCAGAGTTGCCAACATACCATAAATATAGCACAACAAGCAATGTTTTTGTTTGTGGCGAACATTAAAAAGTATTATATATTTATTTAAGGAAGTAGTAAAATTTTATACATTGTTTATAACACTAGGTAGTAGTTCATAACAAATTTAGTGAAATATAAATACAATAGTTAATTAATTATTAAACGTGTAAGTATGTGCTGTACGTACTATGTACTGTGTAGCTCATATAAAAAAATTGTATTAAGTATAAACTAACGCATTTGGCATACTACATTAGTACATTAATAGTATTATATGTTTAAAACATTACAAAAATGTTTAATTATTAATTATTTAAATTAAATATATTTTTACAAATATTTATAATATTTGAAATTTTATCAATCTTTTATACTAATACATAGAGCATTTCAAAATAGAAGCTTAATAATGTAAAGAGCAGCTTTACAACTATCATATAGTATTATGTATGTAAGTAGATAAATAGTAATTCTTATGTAAAATTGTTCGTATACACAGTTACATGCTCGACAGCTGATTGCAAAGTTAATCGGCGAAGCGCTTCTATGACGATTATATATGATATTCGTGCGTACATATATTCATATATGTATAGCTATATACAATACATATACGCGTCTACACATGTGCAGAACAAATATCCATACGAAGTACTACACAACTGCAACTTTTCACCTTTTATACGAAGCGCATAAAAGACGAGTGCCAAATAACATAAAAAAGGATATTTAACGCAAGGATAATCCCATAGATGACGTTATCTCCGGCGGCACATCAACATATGCATGCTTGTGAATAGACAGACATAACTACAAGCGTGTACACGCGTTCATATCGCTGCGAATCTAACTTTTTGCCGGCTGCTAGAGGCTCAGTGCCGGAAGGCCTTACTAAATCGCCATGAATACAATTTGAAAATGAAGTAGTTTTCTGTTGCAGATTTTATCTAATGCGATTTTTTAGCACTTCACATGGAAGATGTGGCATGCAGCATGCACTCTGAACAACAAAACACATGCAACATATGCATGTGTTGCAGTGTAAGCATATATGTACATACATATGTATGTGTGTGCATACACATTTATATTCATAGACATGCCGCTACATCCTCAGAGCCCACGTCGATTGAGCGACACTCACACAGCAGCCAATTGACACCAATGCTATCAGTCTTATCAGCGCATTGCAATCGCGAAAAGTACTCACTTACATACACACATACATACATACATACATGTATGTAACTACAAAATTACACATAAGCATGACTGCTGTGATGGCTCAGCGCTCAGCTGCTTGCAATATTTGCCTGCAGCTCCACGCTTTCGCCTTTTGAGTGCTATTCTTAATGCTAATGTGTTGTAGTTGTTGTTGCGCTATCTATAACAATCTATTTATTTATTTATTTTTTGTTTTTTTTTTTGTTTTTTATCAATACCATAAATACACGCATACATTGGCTTTAGAGCTTCTCGAAAGCATTCGCATTGGTCAGCATTTCGCGCGTTAAACACCAAACCTGCTTGGCCGCCTGCTCCAGCGAGCTGGGCGATTTGCCTTTGAACATGTCGAGTGTCGGTAGGAAATAGTGTGGACATCGGCGATATTGTAGACACGAGATTAGCTGCAGAAAGATACCGTTGATGCGATCGGCGATGCATGGCTCGTCCCATTCGAAGTCGCGCGGATGTTTCTCACATTCGTAGAGCAGTAGATTCTTTAGATGGTAGGCGGTGATCGGATTGCCGGGCAGATCGAGGTGACGATCACGCAATGTCTTGAGAATGCTTAAACAGCGACGACGGCAGCCACCTGTGTTAGTGGAGGAAAATGGGATGAAAGAGAGAGAGAGAGAGAGCAAATATATATTTTTCAGTGAATCCGAAGTTAGTTTTTTACTATTTACATTTGTATAATGAAGTAGTTAATAACCAAATTAGAGATGTTAAAAAAAATTTTTTTTTGTCCAAAAATTTTCTTTTTATAATCGACAAATTTTACCCTCACGCTAAGCATAAAAAAATTTTTTTTCGCTCCACCCAAATACTCATATCAAAGATTGATAAATTTATAACACGGTTGTATTGTATTTCCACATACCACGAAATAGTCTAGTTTTAATCAAGTTAAGCGATCTTTTATTATGAATTATTTGTTTTTAAATATTATACTATCCTAAACACTAAAATGACAAATAAATTCGAGTTAGCGGTTAAAACTCAATTAACGGTATTTTTCGAAAATTCAGAAAACGAGTGGTTTAAGTAACTAAAAGTTTGTATTGCTTAAAAACAAAGCAGTATATAAAATTATAGCAGCACGAGCTCAAATATTGACATTTTTGAGATTAGAAATAATTTTTTAAACTGTCGGAAGTCACTGGAAAAAATTAAGGCAACTAAGTAAGATTAACATTTTTTCCACATAGACCCGGTTAAGTGGGTCTAAAACTGCTGAATGGGTAAGAAAATCTAATTTTTTAAGTTAAGAGCCATAAGTTAGAAAGATATCTCTCTCATTTTTTAAACATTGGAGGGACAGTTCTATGAGGCTTTGAAAATCTAACCATATAACGAATTCTGAAATATCATTTTTACTGCATTTTCGAAAAATTCTACTACAAATGAAGTATGTAGATTTTAATTTTAATAAATTTTTAAAATCTGTTTAATATATATGTAGATCTCAGCATAATATACCCATGTCCTTATGATATTATAATGTTGACACAATACTCCACTATAAGAAAAACTCTTAACTGAAGTTTGGAGATAGAGTCATGAAAGTACTCAGAACTTCATTATACCTCGAGTAAGTATACCTAATTATAGCTCGAGTAACCAACTAAATAATATGTACAAAAACCCTCCAAAAATTTTGTTCAAGTTCTATAAAATACTAATATTCATTTAAGTTGAAAGTTATCCGTATTCAATTCTTTCGTTTCAGCCTAATTCCACATAAATCCTCTGAAGAATACATATTTATTTTTCCACAAAATTCATTTTTTGTAGAATTAAACCTCTATTCATTCTATTCACAACACTTTACCCTGCAGTAGACGATTTTCCGCTTCGAAGAAACTCAGCACCCACGCATCGCCCTCCATGGCGGCATTATTGTTTTTATTCTGCATGACAATTGACTCTTTCGAAAGCAAATCGAAGCCTTCCGTCTTCACTTCGGCTACTATATTCGGATGTGGCCAGGGTATATGTGGCAGTGGCCAATGGGCCGCCGAACGCGGCCATATGCCGGAACATTTAAATGCCGGCGTTATTTGTACGACAAAACGTTCACGTATGCGCAGCTTAACCTCCGTTGTGTCGCCGATCACTTTTACCATATCACGATAAATGCTCTTGTCACTCGCCTGCGCGACCAATGTCTGAAAACGTGAGCGTATCTTACGCGAAGACAGATAACCCGAAGCGGTGATGAATTCCACCCATAGCGACATGGAACGCTTGCGTCCATCACTCAGCTTGAGCACCGCACAGCCGGGCAGGGTGCCATCGTCGACAAAGTTGAAAACACCCATTTGATTGAGGTACAAGACGATTTCGATTTCATTCGGCGAGATCACTTGAACGCCCTCAAATCTGTGGGTGAAGAGATAACAATTGATGTACTTTGAAGGAACTATTTTTGCATTGAATTACTTATTTATAAGTAAATATATATATTTTTATAGTATATATAGATTAAAACTTAAGTCTAAAGCGCCACTAGTGGCAACCGACGAAGACAAACCACAGCAATTAACACGTAACTCCAGTGAGCTCGTGTTAACGTCTCACTTGATGGACAAATTGCACAACTTCAAGCACTTTGACAAATCGACGAGGCAGAAACAGCTCCAGGGCTAACAAGTTAACAGACGGCCAGATGGACTGATGGACTAATGGATCTGTGGGCGCTTAATGACTTGTATGTCTGCCATTACAAGCAGCAAAGTTACGCCTTCGAGCGACGTAAATGAACATTCAATACCTTTAAATGGCAACAGATCGATTGAAATGCATATGCGACTGCATACACATATATGTAACTATAAATGTATATACCTATGTATTACTTATAGGATGTGTGATCTCAAAACCGCATTGCCGCATTTAATGCAGAGTAAAAGTTAAAAGTTGGGTTAAATAATTGATAGATTTGTTAACAGGTATTTAAATCATATTGCTTGTGAAAGAAATAGTTTATAAGATAGCGAGAGTTGCCAAGCTTTCAACATTCACATTTATGTTTCATCAACTACTAAAAATCATTATTTGATTAAATCAGCGCTAAAAGTATTGAAGTGCGATTCCAAGAAATCTGATGCGGTAACATTTTCCGGTGTAAAGTTAACCTAATATATAATATATATACCTATATATAAAGTTTGAGGAACTCATTCAGCCACTAAAATATATGCCAGTAGCTCTCAGTTATATAAGTGTTCCTCTCACACGTCATAAGAATGGGAGCTAATACTAAATTTCCAGATGTCTAGGAAATTTTTAAAAAGAATTATTTTTATTTAAAAATCTCAGAAAACCGAGCAACTCGAATGGGTTAGTCTTATAAAAATTTTAAAATAATCGATATTCTTTGGCTTTGAGTACACTTAAGGTTCTTAAAACAATTATTCAATTTATAGAACAGTGAAGAAAAAGTTCTCTATACAATCCGCTGAAGTTTGAGTCTGTCAGTTTCAGCACTAAAAACCTTAAACGGGTTTAACTGTTGCTGCACCATAAAAGGGAATGTAGATTTTTTGTTATTATTACAACTCTTTTTATAAAAAATTGCTTTACTTTTCTACTACAAAAATCAAAAACGAAAATTTTTTTTACGAGTTCACCATTTTGCGATTAATGGCTATAAAACTAAAAGACTAAAGCTCTTACGTCTTACGTAAAATAATATTCCGTTTTTTATTTTGTTACAGATTACTCGAATTCTTAGAAACACCGCTCTCTTCATAATTCGTTTTTTCGTGACTTATGGGGATATAACCCTTGCACTAAGCATACTGTAATAGCTCTATATTTTGAGAAATTTAAATGATACCTTTGTGAGTCGTCGAAGTTAAAAGCTACTTCGCTGCTAAAAGCTACTTTTTCTTGGGCCGCTTTAATCAATAAAAAGTTCAAAATATGTATCAAGTAACGGTGCGAAATCAAATACATATAAGTATATGAAATTGATATAAAATACATTTTTATTAAAATTTGCACAGACCTACGGTAACCCTAATAATATGGTAGGGATAGATCCAAATTATGTTTGCAGAATTAGGTTCTTAGTTTTTGGTTCAGTTCAAAAGTTATAGCAAACAAGTAAGGAAGGTCTAAGTTCGGGTATAACCGAAGAAATCGTGAAAAATTAAAATCAAATTTGTTATCTTTTTGACTTTTATTGAAGATCATTAATTTAAACTTAATTTTATTGCTATATTTAAGTTCGCGTGAGCTAAAACTACATTAAAAATGTGAATGTATGTGATATTAACTCTTTCAATATCATTAAAATACCTCATATTTTGGCCAATTTATGCGGTATAAAGTCAGCCGGAAGTTCGAAAAAATTTCCGTTAGGTATATGGGATATAAAGAAAGTATTGACCCAATTCCATCCATTTTTGACATACAGACATACTATTATCACAAAAGGATGCTCTCCAAATTTCAATTGTATAACTCACATATTAACCGATATTTTCGGTAGAAAGTCAACAAGAAGCACTGGTGTTCACATATTTAGTACTTAGGGGCTTGAACAATTTTGGTTCGATTTGGACAACTTTTGTCATAACGCTTTAAAATCATAATTCGTGCAAAGTTTTATCCCAATACAATCATTGTTACTTGATTTGTATACTGGAAAGTGAAAGAATCAGATGGCATTTAAAATGTGTTATATGGGAAATAGGCATGGTTGTAATCCGATTTCGCCCATTTTCGCACCGTAACATAGAAATGTTAGAAGAATGTTATATACAGAATTAAGTTGAATCACATTAAGATATGTGATTTCACCTAAAAAAAGGGCGGTGCCACGTCCATCATCCAATTTTGACCGCGTCTCTTACAAAGTCCTCTCATACCAGCTTGGGAGTAAAATTTAATGTCAGTACCGTTATATAGAGAGTGGGCAGATCCATCATCAGATTTAATACAGTGTTATAGTGTTGGTAGAAGTGCTTAAGGAATTTGTCCTGAGCGGCAGTGGTCCGATAGACGGACAGACGCACGGACAGTGACTGTCAGCACACGGATTTCCACTCATCTCATCATTCTGATCATTTATAAATATAGGTATAACCCTATATCTAACTCGATTATTTTTGGGTGATACAAACAACCGTTAAGTAAACAAAACTATTATGCTCCGTAGCAACATGTTGCAAAAGTATAAAAATTTGGTTATCTATTCTAAGCAAGACTTCAAAAGGCTTTATTAACTACTATATTGCAGCTATTGTTATGGTACGGAAATGTTTCAATACCATAACGGGACTAGCTAATTAACTTGTCCATATACTTAAAATATTACTGATGTTTACCTGCCATTGCACTCCACCAAACTGGAGATGAAACGCGGCTCTTGCAATTCCACCTCCTTCAAAATATCTTGCACGATTTTGCAAATCTCTCTTATAGCTGTGGCCGTTTTGAACATACGCGCCTGTACGCGCTCCGCACAGAAGCGATTCATCTGATAAATCATGCGCGTTTGCGCCGCCAACATATCCGGCGGTACCAACATGGCGGCGACGGATGTTGCAATTAACGATGCGCTGTTAAATAATGGCAACAACAACAACAAACATGCAATTCAATGGCGTCGCAGTGTCTGCGGTGAACGCGGCGAAAGGCACAGACAGACAACAATGGGCTGTGTGGCGGCGTAGCACAAACAAACAACAATAACAGAACGAAAAATACAAGCAAATAAAAAACAAACAACAACAACAATGACACAATCGAACTCAAATAGACAGGATGAATATTTCAGCAGGCGATTTTCAGTTAATTAGCGGCGTTGTGCGGGGAACGCCTTTATGGCACAGCACCCTAATGCAAGCAGGTTGACGAAACGGCGGATGTATTGCCGCTATAACGATATTTCTTTAGCTACTGTTTCAATGTAAATGTTTTTTATTTTTATTTTTTAACTTTTGTTTTTGTAGTTTTTTATTTCGGCGGCTTGCTTTGTTGTGACGCGTCACAGCGCTGCGGCCGCAAAAGCGTTTGTGTGTTGTAGTCGCAGCAGTTGCTTGGCACGTTGAGTTTTTTGTTTTTGTTTTTTTTAGTATTTTTTGAACTTTTTTTCTGCACTCTTTACTATTTGACACAATGCACCGAAAACAATAGCGTTTAATTTTTTCTACTTAAGCTGAAGAAAAAAATCGAAATCGCATGCTCCCTTTGCAAAATGCTTTGTGTGCCAGTTACTTTTGCTCGGCACTNTGCGATTTCAATATATCTACACAGAGCCGTTCTTAGCGTTGACAATGCAGCGGAATGTGCAACGAACAAAGCGTGCCGCGAATTCACGCTATGTACGCCAACGATATACTGCCGCCGCCATGCCAAAAGCCAATATTTTCAGGCGTGTTGTAAATCTCACGAATATTTACTGACTCGCCAGATAAAACTGAGTGGCCGCTATGGGACACATAAGCGTGCAAACATATACACATACTTGCATGTAGCAGTGTATGTATATTTGTGTGTACATGCTTAAACTTGCTCATTGTATATAGTTGTCCCGCACAGCCAGCAATTTTATATGCACTACTGCCTCCAACCGGCGTATTTGTGGTAGTAAATCAGTGTTTGTTGCACATTAATACAAATTTACAAGTATAAGGATGTGCATGCGCTGTGCCTGTGTTGGTTGCAGCGGTTGCAGTGGCGAAAATATATATGCACCGAAGCAGTAATACCCTTCACAGCTGAATTTTTTATAGCATAAAAGGGTATAAAATAAAACATTATCTTTATTTTGACCGCACAGTTTATATGGCAGCTATATGCTTTAGTGGTTCGATCTAAATAATTTTATACGGAGATTATAGCGTTGCCTTGGATAAAAATCTATGTAAAATTTCATAAAGATATATTTTCTAATAAAAAAGTTTTCCATACAAAAACTGTATTTTGATGAAAATCAAATGGCTAAATCGACTCAGCTGGTCACGCTGATTATTTATTTATATATACTGCTGGGTGTTACCAACTTCGTGGCCAACTTAATTTACCCTGTACGGGGTATAATAATGCGAAATACCGAGACGTTAAAGAGTTAAGCGCAGTTGAACAGTGAATGCTGCACTCAAATTGCCAATTTATATATTTATATATACGCACACAGATACATTCATATGCACATTGTATATATAAAAACTGATAAATTTATATAGCATCAACACAAAGAACCTCCACACACACAAAGTATGTACATATGTATGTATGTATGTAAGTATATACTTAAAAATATTGATCCTCTCACTCCCCCCATCAAAAATACATACTCGCAGTAAGCGCGTGCTGCTGCTTCTTGTCATGTCGCCGCCGTTTCACTTCATAGCGATTTAAAAAAAATCACAAAAATATGTGTATTAGTATCATGCACAATGCTCTCGTTTCGATAATCGATCGATTAGCGCCAAAGTATTTTTATTGCGACGAGTATTTTTATAAACACATATATATACATATGTATGCGTCTTACCATAAATTTAAAGCCCTTACAAATACACGAAGAATACCGAAAAAACGCTTCCGCAAAACTGAAGACGGCATTTGCAAAGCTCATCGGGTGCTCCAGCCAGCATTGCGAGCATCCTCACCCCTCTCAACGAACACATTATTGTTGTTTCTATGCTGTATGCATACTCATATATTGAATTTATCTACGCTTCTGTGTGTGCGTGTAGATACTTAACCATACAAGCTGCTAACAAATATAGTTATCTCTTTCTAACACACTTTCACGCCACTCACCAACTCTTATATAATTCTTCTCTACTCTCGCTCACGCGGCTAACTGTGCATAAGTGTGTGCGTTCCCACTTAAGGCGTTGGCTCCGCCCTGCGCAGTCCAGCTGCCACGAGCGGCCATCGCTTTTGTGAATGTTTGCCGTTGTTTGTTACATTTTGTATTTTGTTGTTGCTATTGTTGCCGGCATTGATATTTATTATCGGGCACGTCTCGCGGGAATTGTGAGTTTGGAGTTCAATGCACAAATCCAATTTGGCTGCAGAATTTTCATTTGAAGTTAAAGTAAGAGAATGAATGACGACTCTGTGTGTAATAATTTATTTGTTTTTGCAGACACACCCTTATATGTATATAATATTATATATACTCACCCATAAAAGTCACTGCAACAAAGGAATTATGGCGAAAGCTAACTTTTACAGGCCTTTTTTTGCAAGTTTATTTATATTAATTTAATTTTTGAAATTTATGTGCATAGTTCAATTTAGTAATTCAGTAAATTGACCGTATACATCCACAAATTTGTAAAATTTATACATAAAGACTGATTAGAAAAATGATTTTTGAGATAAAGTTGAAGTATCGGCGCAATTACCTGGGCAGCTGATACTATTTGCACCGTATTAAATTCGGTCATGGGCAGTTATATCAATGCAATCATATATAGAACGCATCAAGTACAACAATAATTAAAATATAATAAAGTATTTTCTACGAGGTCTCTAGAATTAATTTTTCGAAACTTAAAAAAACTTCTCAAGGGGTTATATCCAGTTGCAAGTCTGAAAAATAATACGTTTTTTTGGAATTCTTTTGTAAAGTTGCATTTTGTTTAACGAAAAAAGATACATTTACAGAATTGCATATACTTTAATATTCGGCGATTCAATTAAAAAAATGTTGGCTTTTTTGATCCGGTAGCCGATCTCCAGAAGGACCTCCGAAGAAGGTGTCTGGCGGCGCGGAAGACTTTTCTGCTTAATATTAACTCAAAGCCAAAAACCAAATAAATTTATTATCACTAAAGATCAATACAAGTAATGATAGAAGGACTAGTCCATATGTAAACTTTTGACAAACGGCGGTTACTAAAAAAAAATTATGAAAAAATTTACTTTTCAGAGTGGCTTAAGCGGTTACATGGGTTTCATGGCTTCAAAAAACAAAAAAAAAGTTTCATTGTCTTATTTAATTCTATAAATATCACATCTCTAGAATATTTTCCTAAATTCTCAAGTTGATCTCAGTAATAGTTTGGGAGATACAACTTTGAAAGTTGCTGGCTCGAGGTCAGTTATATAGTCATTTGACACTTTAAACGCGTTTCTCTCGATACTGTGCTTTATAAAGTCGGTTGTCAAGATTTCTCCCGAACTACTCAACCGATCTTAATTATACACGGGTCTTTGAGATATCATTTACAAAGTCTTGCACGAAGGATTTTTGTTTGTTCAATTGCAACTATTTAAAATAACAAAAAAGCACCTTTTTTCCCAGGGACTGCCGGCAAAGGCGTCGCAATGGCCGAGTTTTGAATATCTTCATTTGAAAATTTCAAAAATATGTATCTCCCGAATAATAAAAGGTTTGAATAAAATATTTTATTTTTAATATTAAAAAAAAATAATGGAAAAATATGGCGTTTTTTGCTCGACAAAACCCATGTAACCCATTAAAAAGTCGAAATTATTATCGAAAATCGCACTCCTTCGATTATTACCGACGATTATATTTTAGAAGGTTGTGGACAATTTTCAAGTCGATCGGTCTAGTTGTTTCGGAGAAATTTTCCACACCGGAATTATCATCATTCGCTTGCTACAATTTAATTATCCTATTATATTTTTCCCTTGCTAGAGATCGCCAGCATCGCAATTCCAACGCTTCAGAGTCCTGGTCCGCACCATCAATCCATAAGTTTTGGTCTGCCTCTGCTGCTGTTATTTTTACATCTGCCCAGGAGAACTAGCTTAGGAGGATAGTTTTCGTCAGCGCAAATAATATGAGCTTATGGAATCAGTATCGTATAAACACTTTAAACCTCATCCAGAGTTAAATAATTAATGATTACTGGGTTTACGTAAGTCAAACGGTCCTGTAGTTATTTTCGATCCACAACAGTTAACTCGACAATATTGCTCAAAATAATGTTTTATGTCAATCAAAATTTCCAAAAAATATTTTTAAAATATGCATGCCCATATAGTAATTAAATATGCAATACTATCAAATACACATATTCGAAAATTATAAATATATATTTTATTAATGAACAACAAACGAAAAATTCTTGACACACATTTTGTTTCACTTCAAATTAGTGTTTTTCTTTTCGACTACACAAAAAATCAATCAGCAAAAAATACATACAGAAATATGTATGTATATATTTCTATATATAATTAATTACAAACAAATACGTACAAGCATTAACTTTCCTAATCCATATATTATTTATTATACAAATATTGCCACTAATGCCCAGTGACAGTAACTCGCTGTGTTTCCGCTCGCCTTTGCTAAAAATATAAAAAACTTATTTATTAATGGCGTCTAAGCGTTGCAAAGAACAACAATTCCATTCTTGCTTTAACACTTTGCTACAGTGAATAAAAATGAAGAATTTATGCGGTAATTAAATTTGAGAAAAAGCATTAGCAAAGCGCGAGTGTATTAACAGCGACAGTCAGTCAATATAAAGCGAGATAAATGGGCGTGTTCAAATCAGCGACACTTTATTAAATCTAAAATAACACACAAAGAACACATTCAATATATTTTCGAAATAGCGCACTTGGTGAGCAGATCTGAAGAAAACGGAAGTATTTAAGTTGATATTATTGGACATTAAACAAATAATGGAAGGGGGGTTTTCGTGTTTATACATGAGTTAATGAAAGTGATATTGAAGGTGGTTCAAACATATAACAACTGGTGGGTACATAAATTTTAGGTGGATAAAATATAAATGTATATGCAATGTATATATTAGGGTGAGCAAAAAAAAAATTTTTTTTTGCTTAGCCTGAGGGTAAAAGCTGTAAATTATAAAAAAAGAAAATTTTTTTGAACGTCTAGAGGCCCACTCACTTTTAAAGTGAATTTTCGAGTTAAAATTTTTATTTCGTAAAAAATTTTTGATAAGTGTTCTAGAAGCTGTGGAGAGTCCTCTTCTGGCCAATTAAAAGTTATCAACTTAAAAAAATTTGTGATTATGGGTTTTAAAAAAGTCTTAAACTAACAATACTTTCCTTAAGTGTTAAAATAAATATTAAGTCATAAACCGCCACATCGGTAATTTTTATATAAATGTAAAGTTTAAACCAAAAATAATTTTTTTGTCCTTTATAATCTATAGATTTTACCCACAGGCTAAGCAAAAATTTTTCGCTCCACCCTAATATACATGTATGCATATGTATATTTGGTATGAGAATTAATACATACGTATGCGTGGGCTCATTTTTGCATTTTGTCAAAAAAATAATATATTATTTATGTTATCAGAAAGCAGAGATTTCAATGTAGAAAAGCCTACCGACTTAAAAACAAAAACAGGAAAAAATGTTAACTTCGGTTGCCTGAAGCTAATATCCTTCACAAATACATACGATTCCTTACAAGAACTTGATTTTGATCGGTCAGTTTGTATGACAGCTGCATTTACGATTTGTATGCTATAGTGACTCTTATATACAAAATTTCTTTAGAGATTGCACCATGGTCTGGACAATAAACCCATACCAAATTTGTGAAGATAACTTGTCAAATAGAAAGCTTCCATACAAGCACTTCTA